GAAGTTCCTGACATGATCGAGCGTGCTTTCCACGATCGACCGTGGACGAGCTCAGGAGTGCGTCTCGAAGGTTCTGTCAGCTGACAGCGTCCGCGCCCGACGGCTTCCATCCGGAACGCATTTGCTTGCTGGGAGATGCTTGCATATCCACCCTCAGCGTCCTGTATGAGACGGTGGAGCGGCTCGGACTCTTCCCTCGACACTTCACGTGCCTGGTTTTTCCATTGACGAGCCTGCAGGTGGACATAGCGATCCTCCTGTTGGCCAGTTCTGCACGCGCGTCAGAAAGGCTTCGCCGCCCCCAGCTCGACCCCTTCTTCGCAGCCGCGGGGAGCCTACTGGGCGCTTGGCGTTGGGAAAAGTGCGGGGACTTTGTGTTCGGGCCCAGGCGGAATGACAAGACAGATCATGAGTCGTTTCGGTTCGACCTCCTTAGAGACAGAGCGTATCAACGGGACATACCGAGGGTCACAGTCAAGACGATGTATAGTTTGTGGCTTTCTCCGAGGCTTGTCAGGTTGGGCACGGGTTTTCACCCGTTGCCGATCTTTGCTGCGAGGGACCTCCTTAATTACGCCTTCGTCAAAGTATGCGCCATCGACGCCTCCGGTGCTGTCGCACTTCGGCACGACTCGATGAGGTTGTCGTAGCACATCGACGATGACATGCCCATGGCCACAGGTGACAAGCACGCACTACTCAGGACACTTTCCGAAGGAGCAGCCGATATCCATCACGTGTTCAAGCGCGAGTCTAAAGCCGATATCAGTGATCGCCAAGCCATAACTCTAGCAAGCTCTGTTCCTTTGGCCAAGTCGCTCGCTCACCAGCTTCTTGCTCGTGGTTCACTTCAAGGTCTGGCCACATCGGCTAAGCAAAACTTGGGCGTCGACTCCGCTTCAGGAGAAGCTCGCTCTACGAAAGGTGCTCTTCGCAAACATCGTCTCCGTGCTCGGCAGTTCAAGCTTCGTCGCAGTCGAGTACTTCGTTCTTCAAAATGGCTGTCTCATGGTAAGCTTCGCATGGCGATCATCCGTTCTGCGGGCCTCAAGCCTGCTCTTTCTTACGGCAGTGCAGTTGTGGGCATGGGCGACTGCGAGCTGAAGGGAGCTCGCGCGACGTGGCTCAGCTTTCGTTCCCCCTTTCGAGGCGCCTCGTTGCTCGCCGAGCGCGCGCCCCATGGCGACCCCGTTGCAGGCGCGGCCGCGGCGCCGGCGGCGCTGGATTCCATGGCAGCGTGGCAGGCAACGGTTGCATCGGGGGTCTCATTGCTCACGGTGGCAGACCTTGCACGAATGTACAACGCTTTGGTTCACAAGCAGCCTTCGAAGCCCACCTGGAGGCAGTCCAAGGGTCCGATCTCCGGGGCGCTTCTGCGCCTCAAGAAAATTGGGTAGGTGACGCAGTGGATCGACGATCGAGGAGTCGAGCGTTCTCTTCTGCGCGCGTCTCTCACCCAGCCCCGCGCGTGTGAAGCTTTGCAGCGTAAGCACGAACGTGATCTAGCACGCGTTGTAGGTTTGTCAGGTGAGCGCGCGCGAAGGTGTAGATGCTGTGCGAGCGACGGTTCGAACGTCAAATAAATTCGCATCTCGGCGCGAACATGCAGTAGCCAGAGGTTGCACTGAAGCAGTTTTTTTCCGCAAGATCGTTTTAAAGACTTAGGCTATGACAAATGATTGTTTGTGCCCTTTGCGCGGGCGGCGCGATGGCCTCCATCATCGGCTGCGGCGCTGCCAGCGCCAGCAAGTTGTCGAAGCTCGCCGGGGGGCGGCTAGCGCAGAGGTCATTGCTGAGGGGGCCAGGCGGGGAGCGATGATTTCTTCGGGGCCTGACTTGCGTTTCTCCAGCCGCCCTCCTACTTCCAGCCTCACACCGATATGTTTTTTCCCTGCGCTCCTCGCAGGTGAAGTGGTGTCCCTCGACGACCCCTCGATCCTGAGCGAAGCGTCTGACGTCGTCGTGGACGTGTCATGCACCAGGAATCCGATCAGGGAGTTGTCGAGCCGCCTGCGCAGGAGTGTTTTCTGCGCGCGGAGTCGGATGAGGTTCTCGCGCGCTTCCGGGGCCCTGCGCGGCCCTCCCTCCTCCCTAGGCGGCAGAGCAGATGGCGATGATCAGGCCTGCCTTTTTGCTTCCGGGGCCTGTGGAGGCCCATTCAGATTGTTTAGGAGTTGCTAGATTGCATGATCAAGCGAAGCTCCAGGCCCTCTCGGACCGGTCAAAGTACGCCAGCTGAGAGGAGGCTTTTATGAGCTTGGAGGTGCCTTTGATTGGCAAGGCACATCACGCACCAGCGCGCCGACGAATTGAACAGATTGATTGCCTCCCCGGTGCTGAGAGAAGGATCGGACGCGCGACTTTTGGGAGCCCCCAAACCGGGTGGTGAGATACCCGGTGGCGACCTGGAATCCCCAAAAAGGTCGTCGCTGGGCTTGGGGACGCAGGGTCACCGCTGGGTTTTGTGACTCCTGGACCCACAAACGTTCGGGACATCCTCGGAAAACCGCACGAGTCCCCAAACCGGGTGGTGACGCCAAATCGCCCGAGACTCACCGCCAGGTGTTGTCACCACCACGCTTGGGGACTACCAAGAATTCTCTGGCAGATCAATGTGCGAAGGAGGCTCTGGATCTGCAGGTTCGGGATAGCCCGGGGGGACCTGGGGAGTTTGACGCCCTGATTGCCAAGCCCAAGCTGTGGCCCGCGTGGTGGGCTCGTTTCTGTTCCCTCCCAGGCTCAAGGTCCCCAGGCCCCGAGAGACTGGTGCGAGCAGATGGCATGCGTGAGCGGCTGTACCAGGTGCGCCAGGCTTTGTTCTATGTGATGACTGCCACGCCCGAGCCACCATCACGTGTGCTCAAAGGTTGGACATGTGTGGTTGGACGGGTCGCAGGACCAATTTTGCGTTT